GCCCCTCCCCTGCAGTTAAGCCATACACCAATCCTGCCACCACAGCAATAGCACTAACAACAAGACAGGAGGCAGAGCTAGAGGAAGCAGAATGATCAGGAATAAGAATGAGTACATCAAAGGGATAGCTTAGGTTGACCAAGTTGGAGAGGACAGGTTGAGATGGTTTGGACATGTGCAGCAGAAGGATAGCAGATACTTTGGCCAAATTATGTTGTATATCAGGCTGCCAGGGGGGAGGAAAAGAAGAAGACCTCAGACAAGGTTCATGGGTGTAGTGGCAAATGTCATGCAGAGAGTTTGTTTGACAGAAGATGATGCTAGTGACATAATGAGATGGAGCCACTGTGGTGAACCGTAAAGGGAGCAGGCAAAAGAACAGTGCAAAAATTCAGGTCTTACACTGGGACGCCATTATTCTTGCTAGTGTTAGCTAATACTGAGATTGTAACTTTAGCTTTCTGTCATTTTACTGGCAACATTGAGAATAAGCCATTGTGCCACACAGCTAAGATACAACTGCCTGGTTATTGTTGTTTGACAACTTTAGTGCTTTAGGGCATGCTACTCATTTCTGCTCAGAAATGAGTAGCATGCCAGATTATTTCATCAGCTTCATGGTACTGACTTATGTATGATTTCAAAAGCATTTATTTTAGCCAATATTAAATTATGCAATATACAAATCATTAGCATGTCAATATCCAAGCTGATACCAAATACATCAGATCAAAAGATCTCCAGTTTTCAAATTGATTAGGTTTTATCGCCACTAGGTCAGTATTGTGATCAAGCTTATAGAGTTCCTTCTTTTTTTCGACAGATTGTTCTACAGTACACAGACCAGATGCCCCTCTTCCATTTTTTGCACTAAACCCCAGAAGACACCGAGAGCATTCGTTCTGTTCATCCTGCCTCCACTCAGGAAGAATATTCACATCGCTCCTCATTTACATCAGTACATTCAACACAGCACACCATTCCTTCAAATGGGATGGTACACAGTCCTATTGTGGTGAATGGAGATGCTATGAAACCTTCTACAGTTTCCAAAACCACATCCCTCTTCCTGGCAAACCCTGTTGAGAAAATGTTACTATCAGGATACAGTAAAGACCCCAAAACCAACAAAAACACTTATTTTTACATGGAGCACAAATCAAACCAAACCAGGACACTACAGCAGAAACAAAAAGTGATTCAAGAGTTAAAGTCTGATGACCAAGCAGAGCTACCTCCTCATGCAACCGTGTCGGCTAGAACTCCTGCAGTCCCTCCAGCTCAGATTAGGAGAGCTTCTTTTAGCCAAGTGCCATCTCACATTCCAATAAGAAGAACAAAAAGTGAGGGCCATGCTCGAGGAGATGTAACCTCAACTAGGTTGGCTCAGTCAGCAGTACCAGAGATCTGTGCAGATGCTACCGTGAATGATTGTTTTTGGAGGAAACTGGAGGCAGGCAACCACCACGGCAGCATATCATCCTCCTCTAGTATCTGTTCAAGTGACACTGCCATTGAAATCTCTCTAACCTGGCCAGAAAGAGTCTCAACAGTCTATCTACAGCCAGCAATACCTGTGACGCTTCCTGGGCCAGCTGCTGTCACCCAGCGTTTGTCTGCAACGATGCAAGAGCAAGTCAAACCTCAATCTTTAGCAAAATGAGTGCCCCAAAGATCAGCTTAATCTCTGTCTTCTGCAGAACCACTGGTAGAGTGAGCCAGCAGAGTGAGTCAAAGGAGCCACACCTGGAGCCAGATCTTCATAGAGGAACTGAAGCAATCTTCATCACCTCCAGCTACATCCACAACAGCTACAGCTTCTTTGTCCAAAAAGCCTTGGAGATCTGACCTCTGATGACATATGGTGCAACTTTGATAGTAAGTACCACAGCATCATCTGCAGTTTCACTGTTAGGCAAACCAAAGACCAATTCCCAAATGGCAGCCCACAGAACTCAGCCAGTCACTTTACAGAACACTTACGGAAGCTGACTGATGTGGAGCCCCTGACTGCTGGAGATTTCGCTTCACGGGTCTAAAGAATTCCCAGAAGAGCAAGGTGATAAGACCCTGTTTCGAGGGACTGCCTCCAGGAGCCAAAGCAGAGTGTGGTACATTACAAACCGGGCCAGGGAGGCCCAGGAAAGACTGAAGCTTCAAAGTGTTCCAGTACAGAGGTGCAAGCTTTAGGCTTACTCTTAGCACTGGTAGTAGCCCCATTGAGGAGCTTGGAATCCCCGAAGGTGCTTGTTTCATGTCCCAGAGTCCTTGCAGATGCCCTGCACATGCCTCCCCTATACAATCCCAAACCTCCACCGACCCTGAAAACATTACAGTTTCTTTTTTGCTCAATCTCTAAGAACTGGCTGACTTTAAACTGATTGTAAGAGAGAAAGCCTGAAACTAGTATGGAATAAATTTGCTCCAGCAGAAAACTTTTTATTTTATTTATATTATTAATATTTTCTTTCTTGTAGAAAAAGCTGCAAATCTTGCAAAATACTGGTCTAAAGAAAGGTGTTTTACCACTTATTAGTAATCCATGAACAATCTGTTTGACATTTAAATGTTGTATATTTTGAACCAATGATGTACATTTTTTGTGCAATCAGGAAACGTCTTGAAAATGTTCAACAAATACTGAAATCTGTTTGCACAAAATGTTAGATATTTTCCAGAATGTGTTTAGTGACAAATACCAGGAATTTTTTTTTTTTATGTTGGTTTCGTTGGCTATCATTTGCTCTCATGTTCAAGGGTTTTATTCGTTGTTTCTTTTTTTTTTTACAAATACAGTAGCAATACACGTTTACATGTTTTTCAAAGACGTGTTGTTTTTATTTACTTGAAGTGGAATAACTTACTTTGGCTGTGGTAAAAGTTAGATACTATATGCATTTTTATAAGACCGTTAATCCACTAGCAATATTTTTTAAATTGATGGCATGGTATCATTGTGGAAGATGTGTAGTTCAATGCTAAAAGCCAAGGTTCATCTCATGTTTTTGCTGAAGAAAGGAACGATTCTTAAAGTTCTTCATTTCTCTTTGTGTAGTAGTTACAGTGTAATTTGACCAGGTTTTGCTAACATTCTCATCTGTGGCATGCTGCAGCATTTAGATGCTGTGTTTTGAAGCAGTGCTGTACTACCAAGTTTTAGCCCTTTTATGCTGACTGCATGTCTTTTATGTACTGTAACCTTTATCCGAATCTTGTGCTTTTTTTTGCAAATATATTTTATATGAAAATTAATATTCTAAACACTGTTTTTATCGTCTAATGATGATCAAAATGGCATCATGTTTGAAACCCTGCGTTTCCAGTAGTTTGTGATACTAAAATAAGATGAAAATTATGCATTTCAAAGCACGTTTATTCATCAGCATCCTGTATTGTTTGTTTGATTTAGACATTGTGAATTAATGATCTGAATAAATCTTAAGTTAATAATACTGAACATTTCACAGCTCATTTATTTAATTTGTACTTAATCTTGTCTGCAGCCGTCTTAGTTTTTTGACAAAGTCATTAGCTGGGTTAATTCAGCCTTGCACAAGGTGACATGTAAAAGCCCTTGGCCTTGGTTTTGGCAGTGTGCTGGCTTCTCTAATTATGGACTCTGTGTTTGGGTCTGTGTTTACCAGCCATCACCCCTTTCAACCTTTGGAGGGGAAAAAAAGAACTAGACCCCCTGCAGGAAGACAAAATGTTCCTTGAAGCTTCACAAGAGAGACAAACTTGTTAAGAGATCAGATATTAAAAAGAGACAATACTGTGCTTTTGGACTGGTTTTGGAATCGAGTTGTTGTTTAACTCGGGTTATTTTACTTGTAGCTAAAATATACATTTGCACACAATCATAAAGTTTCTGTTTGGAACACTTCCTAAATTTGGATTTGTGCCTGTTTCCTTGAGACTAGCATTTTCACACTCAAACAACTTTTTTCGTCACAAGTTCCTAGCCAGTGAGTTAGGAAAAGGTCGTGCTTTCTGTAGTAAGGTTAAGACCCTACAATATTAGAGTTAAGACCCTACAAAACACCAACTCTGCTTACCATTTTCCAGAGCTGAGAATCCATGCACTGTTTTCATGGTTTCTCAGGACACTGGCATGTCAGTCAAAGGTTTGTCCATTGTCAGGACTGTGATTTCCAAAGCTGACAGCCACCTCTGGCGAGCTGTCAGACACTGCTAGGCCTCTTTCTCAGCTCTGTAAGACTTTGTGTAGCTCGACATGCTCATTTTAGCGCTGCAGACTCTGCTCCAGCCAGCACACAAATACAAAAGACAGCTTCATTAGGATTCCAAGAGATCTACTGAGTCCCTCTTAAAGCTGTATTTATCTCGACAATTTGGCAAGTTTTGGCCTCTCAACTGAAACCTCCAGGCCCTGTCTAGCACTTAAGGCCTGAGAGAATGTTTTTTGTCTCACAGAATGAATGAAGTCTTTCCTTTCAAGATGAAATCACTGCCTGTTTTGTACAAATAAATCAGTTTGGTTTGCAGCTTATACGTAGAAATTTTTGAGACAAAGAAACGTGGTAGGGAGTGGGTGTTTGGATAGTTTTAACAAACTGCTGAAGATTAATAAAACATTTGTCCTAGCAAATTAAACAAAGGACATAGCTTCACAGTCACCTCTGTTGCTGTTTTGCAGGAGAGATTGAATTTATGATGACGAATCCCTCATGGTTGGTCAGGAGTGAGAGAAAATGTGATGTGCTCCAAAACAAAATCCCCCTTCCTCTGAGCCACTGGGACATTCCAGTCCATCCATATGTAAAGCTTACTGCACCACCACACTGTTAAGCTCCCAAAACCCTTGACCCATACCCCGCCCTCCTTTGTTGTTAAAGATCTTGTTGTGTAACCGTGCAAAAACACATGGTAACTGTTTAAAAGTCTGAAAATCTAAGACATAAAGTGATTCTGCCTCAGAAAAACACACCCAGCTCTAGGAAATTGCATACCTCTCAAGACTTTGTAGTTTTTTTGGCCCAGCAGTTGTGGGTTTATCTCCCTGTGAGCCCTTATCTCCTCCCTCTCTGTTTCCCATATAAACCCTCCACTACTTTCAGCCGCACTAAGTCTTTTCAGTGGCCTGCTCACAAGATATTTTTAATTTCTTACTCATTTTCTTGGACTCGCCCTGTGTCCACAATCTGTTTCTGCATACTGTGCCTGACAGAGCAGAGGTAAGGAAAGAGGTAAGGTTTTTTTTCCTTCATGTGCCAAGTAAAAACAACTGCAAAAAAACCTGTTTAAAAGTGTTGTGTCTGCAGATAATTTCAATGTTAAATCAAAGACATCGCTCGTCATAAACATGGTCATGTTTTCACAGAAGTTTAAAGTAGTCTGTGTCATTTACAGGACGGAAACATGAAACTCTGCATGGCTTTATTCGTTTGTGTGGCAGTCCTGACTGCATGGTTCTTTACTGCAGGTAAGAATAATGCTACATCTGAGAGATGTGCAATCAAGGAAATTGCCATTAGTTCATGAGTTGCATTAGATTTCTAAGCAGGTTTTTAATAATGTTACCTATGATCATGAAACCATGATCTCTTCCTCACTCTTACAAAGAAGTTTTGTTACCTGAACCACACCAAACAAAGTCTCAAAAATAAAGCAAAGTCTGAAAATGACAGTTTAACATGGGACACAAACCCAGGTCTCCTGGTTAAAGGTCTAGTAACTGACTAATGTGATCTTTTACAAACCCTTGTTTGATGTGTAGGGATGTTTTCTGATGAGGCAAAATGTTCTAAGTAAGAACAAACAACACTTCAGCTATCAGGGAATTATACATGGGCACTTGTTATTGCTCAATCTCTGCTCTCTTCCTCAAGTTGTGTTTGCTAATCTTACAAAGTTATTTTCATGTGCATGGGGTTTTTTCAAGTGCTTGACCACATTCTTGTCAGATTTATACATTTTTCTTCCCAGCTTTGTAAAAAGTAGCTGGTACACAAGATGAGGTCTATTACTTACAGATATTTCCCTTAGAGTCGCGTGAAAAGAAGTTTCTTCCAGAGCTAATAATCAGTGTCAGTACATTGTCTTTGTTGTGCCAAGCTTGAAATAATGGTGAGGTACTGATGGGCTGATTAATCGGCACGAGTTTGTGTCTTAGGTCTCCAATTGTTTTTCATTCGTTTAATGTACCTGGAGGCAACTATATAAATAAAACTGAATTGAATAAAAGTTTTAAATCCATCCAACTGTCCCTTAATTATTGCAGCCCCACCCCACAAATGAATACTGGGTATAAACATTTACAATTTCAAAAAAAAAAAATCAAGATCTGGGCCAACTTTTGATACTTTGTTAACCATGATGTTCCCCATTATCCATTTCTCCATTAGGTTTTATTTTAAACAAGCATTGAAAACACCTCCACGCCTTCAAGTAAAACATTTTCTGATTGGACTCTTAGCATTTTACTCTAACTAGCATTAAATTACAACTTTAATGTATGCTATAACTAAAATTCTGTGGCAAGATTTAGACTGCTGGAGGCCTATCAAACTTCACACAGGGGTCCAGTCCACACTGACAGACTCCTATTTCTCACCAGTGGAGGGGCTACTGCCCTACTGTGCTCCAGAAAGCACTGTGATGAATCAATTAACTGTGTGAGAGGAGGACTCAGCAGGCAGGCAGTGAAGTGACAAGCATCTCCGCAGATTGTAGGTCCTGCCATCATCACTAGAGGAGACTGGCATCGTGTCATCAGCTTTATATTACCCAACCAGAGCTGCTTTTGTTGTGGTACGCAATTATGAAAAACTTGCACCCCTAGCACCTCTGCATGCCCCACATCCCCGACCCCTACCCTCCCATCATTTTCTCTTCTCTGACAGACCTTGGCAGGGCATGTTAAGTCCTGGCATGCCACTGCTCACAGTTAGAGCAAGAAGAAAACAACTGTGAGTGTCATGAGTAATGATGGGATTGGCTGGGGGGTTTTATCCCCTGATTACATGGTGAAAAGGAGTTGGTCAGTGGTGGTGGGAGGGGATGGTTAGATTAGAACAGGAAAACACATCCTTTAAGACCTCACTTTGATCCCATCAAATGAGCCTTGTCCCCCCCACCTATTGTATCTCGCAACCTCCCCTCACCATGGAGCCAATTTCTCAGCTCTACTAAAAAACAACCGAAAACAAGACTGTCATTGTCCTTCACTGGCTGTTTGGCTGATTTATTTGCTATGGTTCAGAGAAAAAACACATGAAGGGAACTCAGCAGAACAATATGCTTCATTAGGCTTTTTGAAGCCATACTTTCCATAAGCCTGTAGACTTGAAACCAAACCACAAATCAGACTGAATCCTATTATTTTGATCTGATGCTTAATTACTTTTTTCCCAAAAGTTCAATTCTGTTTTTCTTTTTCTTTTTTCTGTTCTAGATGCCAAGGAGTTATTCATCACAACCATAAAGGTATTCTTTCTTTGTCTCTTGTTCCTGACTAGAATGCCAAAGTCCAGCTGTGATACAAAGTCAAGTCAACAATATAAGAATTTATGCCTCTTATATACAACTTCATTGTATGTTCAGAATAGCTCTTAACTCATTCACTGCCATTGACGTCTATAGCCGTCAATTGCAGTGAATGAGTCAATGGGTTTAACTCATTCACTGCCAATGGCTGGCAGTGAATGAGTTAAATCATGTAATACATTATTTTGGAAGACTGGGAATTGATCTTACTCTTGTTGAACTTGAACAAGCAAGCTAATTATCACTAGTTGCACAGTGTCTCTTTAATAGTTTAAAACATTGTGTTCTGGTTTCAAAAACAGACATAAACACTTGTCCTTTATATCGGCAAAGTTGGGTTTTCTGTCCTAGTCGCCATAATTCTTACTGACCCACTTTACACTTCACTGTCAAGTATAAAATAAACCAAATAAACACAGTCCATATGCCATCTTCACCATTTTCATATCGAAGGAAGCTTTAAAGTCTATCTTTACATTTTCAAAGTTAGCTTATATATATATATATATATATATATATATATATATATATATATATATATATATATATATATACACACTCTTAACATAAGGTATTGTACAGTCTATCTGATTAAAATATGAGTAAACAGATTTTTTTTTATTAAGCAAACACAAACAAACAAAAAACAACATAGCACAGTGTCTGCCACCTTTCAAAAAATTAAAACAAAATAAAAAATTCAACAATTCCTTGCAGGCAGTCTTTATCCATCAAACAAGGGTCCTGCGCAGTAGCTTTGCTGTTCCTGGGACTGCGCTTTTCTGGACAGAGATCTTGGATGTTGTTTCTGGGATGTTCTTTAGCCAGGGCTGGACTGGTAATCTGGCATACCTGGCATTTGCCCAGTGGGCTGATGCACTTTTGGGCCGATGGCCGTGCACCAGTGCTGCATGCACTGACATAAGCCCATTCATTAATTTTCACTACTGATACTGTATTGCCCAATCAAATCTCTCTACACAACCAGGCGCTCCACTTGCCTTTGCTGTACTTCACACAACATGTAGAACAGAGTTTAGTGAGAAAGAAGTGGAGAAAAGCTGTGGAGCTGCTAAGACAGATAAAAATAAACTAAAAATAAATGCAGCAAAATGTGTCAAATTAACCGACATGTTAGCTGTTGGGGCTGCTGCTGCACCATCAGCAGTATTGCCAACAACAACTTTTACAAGCTCTCACAGCCACAGGAGGCTGCTGTTAATAGCACCAACAAGAAGTGCAGGAAGAGGGACAACGGTCCCAACAAGAGAGTGATATAATAGATGGAGGATATAATTCCCCGCTCGCCCCTGCCATCTATCCTTCAAGCTCCTCTACCAGAGGCCTGGGAGCTTGGGGGTCCTGCGCAGTATCTTAGCCATTCCTAGCGCTGTGCTCTTCTGGACAGAGTTCAAGTTCAAATTTATTTATATAGCACTTCTAAAACAACAGGTGTTGACCAAAGTACTGTACAATAAAATGGACAAGGCAATAAACATAACAAAAAAACAGAATAGTGTTTTAGAAGAGAATAAAATCATAAAAAAGAGAATAAAATCATAAAAAATAGAATAAAATCATAAAAAAGAATAATAGTAACAAACTCATGATGAATCAAAAGCCAGAGAATAAAAACGGGTCTTTAGATGACTTTTAAAAGTATCCAGTGTTGGGGAGGGTCTGATATGCAAAAGCAATATATTCCAAGGTTTGGGGGCAGTCACAGCAAATGCCCGGTTTCCTCTGTGTTTTAATCTGGACCTAGGGACAACCAAAAGCATTTGGTCTGCAGACCTCAAGGATCTTGGGGGAGAATACCAGGTTAGGAGAGCAGCAAGATATGTAGGGGCTAGTCCATGCAATGACTTAAAAACAAGCGTTAAGATCTTAAAGTCAATTGGAAAGCTGACTGGCAGCCAGTGTAGTGATGCAAGCATGGGAGATGTATGATCTCGCTTGCGTGTGCTAGTTAGAAACCGTGCTGCAGCGTTTTGAACTAGCTGCAGTTGGCCAATTGATGAAGAGGTGACGCCAGAGTAGAGACTATTACAGAAGTCGAGGCGAGATGAGATATAGGCATGGATCGCTTTCTCAAAATCTCTGAAACGGAGAAAGGGCTTAACTTTTGTAATTAGGCGAAGATGAAAGAAACTGGTTTTGACTACATTATTTATCTGTCAAGTGCTGCCAAAAATCACTCGTAAATTTCTTGCAAAAGGTTTTTTTTTATATAATTTTCTAAGGGGCCAAGGTCGTAATGGTCAGAAGGACCAAAGACAATGACCTCAGTTTTCTGTTCATTTAGATTTAGAAAATTTAGAGCCATCCATGCCTTGACATCTTCTAGACCACAGGTGTCGAACTCCAGGCCTCAAGGGCCGGTGTCCTGCAGATTTTAGATGTGTCCTTGATCCAACACAGCTGATTTAAATTGCTAAATTACCTCCTCAACATGTTTTGAAGTTCTCCTGAGGCCTGGTAATGAACTAATCATTTGATTCTGGTGTGTTGACCCAGGGTAATATCTAAAACCTGCAGGACACTGGCCCTCGAGGCCTGGAGTTTGACACCCCTGTTCTAGACAATCAAATGGTCCCTTCAGAGGATTCACAGATTTTCATTTTAGTGGAAGGTAAATCTTAGAATCATCTGCATAACAGTGAAACAAAATTCCATATTTTTTAAAAATAGATCCCAACGGGAGCATATAAATTGAAAAAAGGCCTGGACCAAGGATAGAGCCCTGGGGGACCCCGCAAAAAAGGGTCATCTTTGGAGGCTATGTGTCTCTGAATCTAACAGAGAAAATACGATTAGATAAGTAGGATTTAAACCATTCCAAAGCAAGCCCTGTAATTCCAGCATATTGTTTCAGTCAAGAGATAAGAATCCTGTGATCTACTGTGTCAAAACGGTGGTGGTTCACCAATGTCGTGTTGGTCTAAAAAGGTCTGGAGCTGCGGAGGGACAATTTTCTCCAGAACTTTTGACAAAAAGGACAATTTAGAGATTGGGCGGAAATTTGATAGTACTGTTAAGTCCAGATCAGAGATGGGCAGTAACGCGTTACTTGTAACGTGTTACTGTAATCCGATTACTTTTTTCAAGTAACGAGTAAAGTAAGGGATTACTATTGCAAAAACGGTAATTAGATTACCGTTACTTTCCCGTAGGAACGCTGCGTTACTAAATCCGTGATTTTTTTGCGAGAATGTCTCATGACAGTGACGTAAGCAAGTGCGACGTTCTTGACAACAGCTGTCTGCAGATCAACAGTGGATAATATATCAAGTGCGGGAGAGAGTATGAGCGTGCAGCGTTTAAAGCATGGAAGTACTGACCTTACTTTAAGTTTGATTCCATAAAAAGTGACAAAAACATTAGTGTCCGTTGTGCGTGGGAAGAAAACTTCTTTTTACAGCGAAAAAAAACCCCCTAAACTTCCAAGCAAGCACCGAGTGCGCTATGATGTAATGGGAATGTAATGAGTATTTCCAGACAAGCTGAGTTGAACAGGGAAAGCAGTCGAATGAGTGGTACTGTTAGTAGGTAATGCCTGATTACCTGGTAATGCCAGAGATCTCAGATGTTGTTCCTGAGATCTGTTGAAGCCACTCGCCTAGCTTGGGAGTCATTGCACCTAGCATCTACCACTGTTACCTTCACCCTTCACATCTTCTCCAACTCTTCTCTGAGCCCTTTCTCATGTTCCTTCTTCCTGATGTCATTGGGAACCGCTACATCTATCACTACAGCTGTCTTCTTCTGTTTGTCTACCTTCTGTTTGTGTTTGTCTACCACAAACAGGCCATAATCGGCACAGATGTTCCTGTATCCTATGCCTGCCTGCTAGCATCTTGCACCCTGTTGTTATGTGCTGGATTGTCTCGGGGACATTTTTACATAGCCTTCACCTTGAGTCTTGCCTGGTGTGATAGACCCCAACCTCTATGGATCTTGTGCTCAAAGCTTGTTCCTGTGCTGCCATGATTAGTGCCTCTTTGCTGTCTTCAGTCCAGCTTTGTCCAGCCACTGGTAGGATTTCTGGATATCAGCCACCTCCGCTATCTTCCGGTGGTACGTACCGTGCAGGGGCCTGTCCTTCCATGATGGTTCCTCGTCTCCCTCCTCTATCTTGGGTTTCTGCTGTCTGAGGTATTCACTGAGCATGCGGTCGCATCCAGATGTATTCATGGATGTTCATTGTCTCATCCTGGACTGTGGTGCTGACACTCACCAGTCCCCATCATCCTTCATTCCGCTTGGCGTACAGCCTCAGGGTGCTGGACTTGGAGTGAAACTCTCCATGCATGGTAAGGAGCTTCCTGGACTTTATGTCAGTGGCTTCTATCTCCTCCTTTGGCCAGGTTATTATCCCAGCAGGGTACCTGATCAAGGGCAAGGTGCAGGTGTTGATAGCCCGGATCTTGTTCTTACTGTTCAGCAGGCTCCTCATGACTTGCCCAACCTCATCATGGTTCCCATTAGCCTGTGTAATCCCCAGGTACTTGTAGCTGTCTTCTATGTCTACAATGTTACCTTCTGGTAGTTCGATCACCTCAGTTCTGACTACCTTCCCTCTCTTTGTTATCATCCAGCTACATTTCTCCAGTCTAAACAGCATTCCTATGTCATTGCTGTATATCCTGGTGACATGGATCAATGTCTCGTTCACTCTTGGCATACAGCTTGATGTCATCCATGTACAGGAGGTGGCTGACAATTGCTTCGTTCCATAGTCAGTATCCGTAGCCAGTCTTGTCAATGATCTGACTGAGGGGGTTAAGGCCTATGCAGAACAGCAGTGGGGACAGGGCATCTCCTTGGTAGATCCCGCACTTGATGGTGACTTGTGCTATGGTCTTGAAGTTGGCCTCTAGAGTGGTTTGCCACATCCATATTTAGTTCCTGATAAAGGCTCTTAGGGTCCTGTTGATCTTGTCTGGGCATTCCACGATCCAGGTGTGGGGCATCAAGTCATATGCCTTCTTGTAATCAATCCAGGTACAGACCAGGTTGGTCAGTCTGGTCTTGCAGTCTCGGCTGACTGCTCGGTCTACCAGTAGCTGGTCTTTTGCTCCTCTGGTATTCTTGCCAATTCCTTTCTGTGCCCCGCTCATGTATTGAGCCATGTGCCTGTTCATCTTAGCCACCAGATGCCTGACGGGAGCTTCCAGCAGGTTATTGGCCAGTAGTTGGATGGGACTGGTCCCTTCTGGGGGTCCTTGGGGATCAGAACTTTCCGGCTTTGTGTTAGCTATTCCGGGTGTCTCCCATCGACTAGCAGCTGGTTCATTTGTGCTCCCAGACGCTTGGATGGTTGTATGGAGAACAGTTGCTTTATTCTCCTGCCTTCAATCTCCCTGGTGTACCTCTTCAAGCGGCTGGCCAAAGCTCTGAGTCATTGCTTGTCAGTTTCCAAGGCCTCAGGTATGGACAGCTTTCTGTACTTCTTAGGCACCTTCTTCATTGCACCTTTCTGCAGGTCTGATAGTTGGCTAACCTCCCTCCATGCTACCTTGATCTTAGCCTCTGGTCTCCTTCTCCATGGAGGGTAATCAGAACTTGTGGCTGTTCCACTTGTAGCCAAGCATCTCACTGATCACTGCTGCCAAAGTGTAGATCAGCTGGTTAGTCTCGGTAATGGTGGTTGTAGGTATGGTATGTAGTGCTGCATTCACATCATCCAGTAGATCTTCTGAGGGTACTTCACGTAGTCTTGGTAACCAGCTATGGAGGTTCCAGGTTTCAAGCTTCGCTGTGATCCTATCTTTCAGGTCAGTTCCTCTTGCACTCAATGATCCTTCTTCCATCGCACTTGGGGCTTCGTATATATATGTGATAGGGTGTGAGTGTGTACTTGTGTAGACACTCGGGTTCTTTAAATACAAGGGGGAGAAAATTCATCAGAAACCCAAGGCACAGAGACTAAACAGGTCTAATCAGAAGAGGTTTATTCCCAGTGAAAGAAAGCAGGAATAAAACAAACAACATTCTAAAAACTTATGCAATAAAATGTTCTTATTACACTAAATTCTAAAGCAAACACTCAATAAAATTGTCTTAAAAAATCTCCAAGAAGAATGTTCCTTATAGCTAAGAGGGAAACAATTCCTCTTCTGGTGCTGAAACTGCGCCAGCCTAGTCCCAGGGAACAAGGAATCTCTTCTCGTTACTCTGTCTCTTCATCGAGCTCATCGCACCACAACCCAGTTTTGGCCCACAACAGCACACAACTGAGTCCCTGGCTTGCCGCTACCATGGTTTTCCTCGTGGCACCTCCCTGATGTGTCATCCGTGAAGCTGGCCTGGCTAATCTCCATGGCAACCCTCCCCCCCAACAGGGCTGCACCTGACGAACAACAGTGGAAAACAGTACTCACAAATGCCGACAGAGGTTCACCTGTGGCCTGCTGTTGATCACACCCATTATTCCCCACTGTTTGCCGTTTCTGTCGCTGGAAATGGAGTTTTAGGACATCCTGATAATAATGAATTACAGTAGTCCAGCCTAGAAGTAATAAATGCATGAACTAGTTTTTCAGCGTCACTCTGAGACAGGATATTGCTAATTTTAGAGATATTGCACAAATGGAAGAAAGCAGTCCTACATCTTTGTTTATTATGTACATTGAAGGAATCTGAAAATATATGCTATACCTTCTGATGATACTGCCTAAAGGAAGAAGGTACAGTATAATGTAATCAGATTTGGTCCTACCACACAACCCTGTGGAACTCCATAATTACCCTTAGTTTGTGAAGAGGTCATTCAAACCATACAGCATGCTCTAATGACCACTTTTAGTCATACAGCCTTGGATAAAATAGAATTGGTACAGGCCATCTGCCTGCACAGAGCTCTGTTGTCAGGAAGCAGTTTACAAAGTATGTTGGACCCCTCTTGTTTATACTGTTGTTGGTCCATCAGCCTGCCATAAGAAAAAAGGAGCAAATGTATGACCTACAAATAGCTCAAAAGATAACAAGTATTAAAAATAATGAACAGTGTCCACAACAGCCACTGTCTATACTTTTTTTTTTTGTTTTTTTTTTTCACGGTTCACCCATTCCTGGTAATCTCTAGTAATCGCTGTATCTCCCGTCCATATTCTGGCCCACTTGTCAGCCAGTCAACATTCAGGAGTCACTTACGTCTATCAAAGTTAGAATAAGGAAGGGTGGGTTATGTGAAAACCCCTCTCCCCTCTCTGTATGACTGAAATTGTATATGCAAACCAACACATTTGAGGGACTGTAAAACCAGTTTAAGTGAAACACAAAATCCAAGGCATAACACTATTAGGTGTGAACAAGTCTCACGGACCAGATTATATTTACTGTTGTTTACTCAAATCTTGTGCTCAACAACTGACTCCTGCGTTTCATAATATTTTTAATAAGGATTTAGAGGCACAGGATGTATCTATTGTTTGGATGGATGCTTTTTTAGTTCTGGTTCCTAAATCTAGTTATTTAAAAACTTTAAATGCACAAAGACCGGTAGGCCTCACGTCAATTGTGATAAAATACTTAAAGTCAAAGAAAAGGTTAAGGGTGAAGTTAAGGGAAACTGAGGATGTGCTTGACTCCACAAAGTTCATAAAGGAGTGGAACATGTCAGATTGACCTTCTTGAACCTGACTGTTAAAAACTCAGAGTGAAAAGTTCCTCAAGTATTTCGGTGCAAAAAGTGAGACTGCCTTACACATAGCACTTTTTCCTTTAAACAGTCATTTACATACTACAATTTTAGGATTCAGAACTTAAAACTATGCGACAGACTGGCGACCTGTCCAGGGTGTACCCCGCCTCTCGCCCTATGACAGCTGGGATAGGCTCCAGCACCCCCCGCGACCCTGAAAAAGGATGAGCGGAAGTGAATGGATAGATGGAACTTTACACAAACTTCAAGTTGTAAGAGCATGTTGATTTCCTTTAAATTTAAAGTATGCCTTGCTTGCTGCCTTGTGTTTTGTCAGGATGAACCATATGCCATGAGCAAGGGCTCTGAGCTAGAAGGCTACTGCATTGATCTGATCTCAGAGCTCTCCAAGAAGCTAGGCTTCAAGTACAACTTGCATCTGGTCAAAGACAACCGCTATGGCGCCATGGACTCCAGCGGCAACTGGAATGGCATGATTGGTGAAGTCATCAGAGGGGTGAGTCATAGAGTTATAGAGCACTGAAACAACTCTACCTCAGTGTGTTACAGTATGTGAACACTGTAGTATGTGTCTTTAGTGTAATGTGTTTCGTTGCTCTTGTTAAATTAAGTTTGATACCCTCCTGTTCAACCTCAGACCTTGCTTTGATGAATGTACACTTTAAATTTAATGCCACCAATGTCTGAGCCCTCCTAATATTATGCATTATAGATTATCCGAGCCACAATGCTCTTTGCAATTTTACATTAATTACATTAATTGGCAAGATTACGCTTAAATTGTCAAATTAATTTAATTTATCCCTCATAATGTCCTCCCGATTTCCATACACCTGTGGTCCTCAGGGGTCATAAATGTCCCCACTTCATTTGAGTGTTTTTTAAAATATAAAATATAAGTTGTCAATCAATTCAGTGTTACACCTTAGTTTTACTTAAGACCAATACATCAACACAAAATTTACCGTACATTATACATTTTAGGGCCACCAGACCTTGTTTACATAAAGTACACTCTGTTTTTGAGCGAAAATAAAACGAGACAATAAAATATTTAATTGTTTAGATAATTTTGACTATTTGTCTAACTACAGAGTCCTGTATGTTGAACTTCAGTAAGAAAGGTTTTTTTTGAAGCATTTGAAGCATTTAAAATTTTTAAATGGCAGCACATGTGACCTCCATTTTTGACCTCCTGTGGTCCACAGAGGTCAAAAATGTCCCCATCTGGTTTGAATGATACTTAATTAATATGAAGTGGATTTTCCCCCACTTTTAATTAAAACTTAATTCAAATATTTTGACACAATTTTTTTTATTCAAATTCAAATTTAAGTCTGATAAAAACCTCATAAAAATGAATTTTTTCTTTGTTTTCGGGTAAAAAAAATTTATTAAATCATCAGTTATTGTGATTGGTATATGACGTATACGTATATATTGGTATATGACGGGTATATGTCAAAGTTAATTTAGAAAGCGGTTCTTAAACTAATTCAAGTTTTTTAATGGCAGCAAATCATCACATCTGTTGTCCTCTGGGCTCAAAGATGACCCCGCTTGCCTTGACTGTTTATAAAGCAATAAGTATAAAATATCATCCATCTCTGTGTTTAAAGGTTTTATTCATCTTTATTCCAACTCATTACCTGACATTTTTCTATATTTTGGCATGGTAGGACACCAGGGCATGGATCTGAGTGAAGGTAAACTTTCATGAGGACAAAGGCGTCTCCATATTTGACACAAGTGCAGGAGGAAGCTCAGGTTTATTCCTCTGCACTGGTCCCATCATGGACAGCTTTCTTTTCTGCAGTTGCAGGCCAAGGGTCATATACAGTAAACAAGTTGTTACTGGTGATTGTTTTCTTTTGGAAACCTTCTGCAATGTTAGGGACAACTCGCGTGTCCTGACTGCAGGATAGACTGTTTGCCATCGTACACTAGCATGTTCCATGTACAGCTGGACCTGGCATCACATACTTCCCATGTTTTTATCTCATAGTTCCCCGGTTTACTTGGGATGTTCTGTTCGAATGGACAGAGTCCTCTGAAGGGGACTTGCTGCTCATACACAGTCACATCAGTACCAGGATCTTACATCAACAGCAGGAGAAACATCCACTTGTTCCATACACCTCAAATGGGAGCACGTTTGTGTCATGAACAACGATCATCTATTGTGTCTTTATCAAGAAATTATAACCTTTTTGCGCTTCTATGATTAATCTTGTGTCACCTTTAAAACTTCTCTACCAGACTCAGGATGTCATAAACTGGCCGTAGCGACTTTACTAGATGCACGGCAGTAAGAATCAATATGCCCACATATGTCTACAGCTGCATTCGATCCATTTTTCTTCCTCTCTCGTTGTCCCTCCTCTTTTGTCATTGAGTTGGCTGTAGAGCAGGTCATCTGCTAATTGGATGGTTGTTGGTTCAATCTCTGTGTGCTCTAATCTGGAGTTCTTACCAAGGTGTCCTTTGGCAAGTTACTGAACCCCAACTTGGTCTCTGATGCATCCAGAGACCAAGCTACTTTTAGTACCACTGATGTTAAGTTAGACTCTTTTTCTCCAATTGATCTTTCTGAGTTAACTTCAATAATTACTTCCTCCAAACCATCAACGTGTTTTTTAAACCCCATTCCGACAAAACTGCTCAAAGAAGTCCTGCCATTAATTAATTCTTCGATCTTAAATATGATCTACCTATCTCTAATAATCGGCCTGGTAGACCTTAGTGCAGCATTCGATGCTGTTGACCATAATATCCTATTAGAGCAATTAGAACATGCTTCTACCAGACCAAAATTTTTGAACATTGATGATCATTGCCGGCCGTAACTCACATAGTGTGTCATATATTGCTGTAGGTATTACAGGTACTGCACTGCAGTGGTTTGTATCATATCTATCTAATAGACTCCAATTTGTACATGTAAATGGAGAGTCCTCTTCACACACTGAGGTTAATTATGGAGTTCCACAGGGTTCAGTGCTAGGACCAGTTCTGTTTACATTATACATGCTTCCCCTAGGCAGCATCATTAGAAGACATTGCATAAATTTTCACTGCTATGCAGATGACACCCAGCTCTGTCTGTCCATGAAGCCAGATAACACACATCAATTAGTTACACTGCAGGAATGTCTTAAAGACATAAAGACCTGGATGGCCGCTAACTTTCTGCTTCTTAATTCAGATAAAACCGAGGTTATTGTACTCGGCCCTGAAAATCTTAGAAATATGGTATCTAACCAGACTCTTACTCTGGATGGCATTACCTTGGCCTCCAGTAACACTGTGAGGAACCTTGGAGTCATTTTTGACCAGGACATGTCCTTCAATGCACATATTAAACAAATATGTAAGACTGCTTTCTTCCATTTGTGCAACATCTCTAAAGTTAGAAATATCTTGTCTCAGAGTGACGCTGAAAAACTAGTTCATGCATTTATTACTTCAAGGCTGGACTACTGTAATTCATTATTATCAGGATGTCCTAAAAACTTGCTGAAAAGCCATCAGCTAATCCAAAATGCAGCAGCAAGAGTACGGACAGGGACTAGAAAGAGAGAGCATATTTCTCCTGTTTTGGCTTCCCTTCATTGGCTTCCTGTTAAATCCAGAATTGAATTCAAAATCCTGCTCCTCACATACAAGGTCTTAAATAATCAGGCCCTATCTTATCTTAATGACCTTGTAGTACCATATCACCCTATTAGAGTACTTCGCTCTCGCACTGCAGGCCTACTTGTTGTTCCTAGAGTATTTAAAAGTAGAATGGGAGGGAGAGCCTTCAGTTTTCAGGCCCCTCTTCTGTGGAATCAGCTTCCAGTTTGGATTCAGGAGACAGACACTATCTCTACTTTCAAGATTAGGCTTAAAACTTTCCTTTTTGCTAAAGCATATAGTTAGGGCTGGACCAGGTGACCCTGGATCCTCCCTTAGTTATGCTGCAATAGACATAGGCTGCCGGGGATTCCCATGATGCATTGAGTTTTTCCTTTCCAGTCACCTTTCTCACTCACTATGTGTTAATAGACCTCTATGCATTGAGTCATACCTGTTATTAACCTCAGTCTCTTTTCCACAGCATGTCTTTATCCTGTCTTCCTTCTCTCACCCCAACCGGTCGCAGCAGATGGCCCCGCCCCTCCCTGAGCCTGATTCTGCCAGAGGTTTCTTCCTGTTAAAAGGGAGTTTTTCCTTCCCACTGTCGCCAAAGTGCTTGCTCATAGGGGGTCATATGATTATTGGGTTTTTCTCCGTCTCTATGAAGCGCCTTGAGGCGACTTTTGTTGTGATTTGGCGCTATATAAATAAAATTGAATTGAATCCATTGGCATGTGAACGTTAAAAAGCATAATACAAGCAGAATACACTGTGTATAATGCTTTCAGTACTCGAGCAGAAAAGCAACTGAAGGAGTATGGGACCTGGCATATGTGCTTGGACCGTGGTAGATTGTCTTTCTCTGTGGCACATGAGAGAGTCATGCATCGTCTGTCACTGGGAAGGATAGAAGACCAGATCAATGTTTCCTCACATTTCTGCAAATATTCCTCTGTCTCAGCTGACTCCTCTTTCTTGTTTGATTCTTTGTCTTCATCATAATTGAAATGGAAGATGTGTAGTCCTCTGACACATCTTCTATTTCAGTTTCACATTCTGAAATTCAAGAAACTTCAAGAAGCCCAGTCACTTTCTTTCCAAGCTCCTCAGACTACCATGTCCTGGATGCCTGAGAACCTACTTGAACATAGTTCAGATTCTTCATCATTTTCCTTCACTTCATAGCCTTCTTCCACTTCTGCAGGTGGGTGATGTGCTTTTTCAGAGAAAGGGTAGCATGTGATCTAAATATTGACAATATTTTCTTTATCTTCTAACCCTGGACCTTCCTGAACATTGATTCTCCCTCCTCATTATACTAGAGGACAATATGTGCTTTGTTCTACTGGTCATTGCTTTGCACAACATGGTAAAAAAAAAAAAAGTATGCTCACAAATCTCTAGTGCAATGGAGGCTTGTGAGCATACTTTCTGTGTATGTATTATTGTAGGGTCTACCTTACAATATGAAGCACCTTGATGTGACTGTTGTTGTGATTTGGCGCTGTATAAATAAAATTGAATTGAATATAGAGCACCTGTCTCCTCATTGTGCTGCCTGTTGTTGTTGTTGTTGTTGTTGTGGTTGTTATGACCATTGCTTGACCCCACAAATCAGTGATCCAAGATCAAAGATGTTTGAAAGCAGTATGGTGTGAAAATATGGCCCTTTGCAACACTTTTCTACTTTGGGGTCATTTTTGTCCACGAGGACCACAGGTGTTATAAAATCCAATAAAAACCCCATAAATAAATCAAATTACTTAAAACTTATTCCAATCATGCATAGCATAGTAATGAATAACGTCTGTTATTTTCAGACCATTTGATGAACAAAAAACACATTTTTGATAGCATAAGCTCTTACCCTATCTGTGTAGCAGTGAGCATAGGGTTATATATATTTCAACATTTGTTATGATGTTTTGTGCTACTTACAAAACAAATGCTGACCATAAATTATTTAAAATTGTTACTCCTTTCTATCTGTACTCCTTTCTATCTGTACTCACATTGTACAGAGTTTTAACTTTTCTTTTCTTTTTTTCATTGATTGTGTCCCTGGTTTTTCATATGTGTTGCTATACCTTGCTTCAGGAGGCTGACCTGGCTGTGGCCCCGCTGACTGTCACTGCCGTCAGAGAGAGGTTTGTGGACATGACCACCCCCTTCATTCAAACTGGCCTCAGCTTCATTTTGCGCGAAGCAACAGACCCTGAAGACAGCACGTTCAGCCTGCTGGCACCCTTCTCCACTGACATGTGGATTGGCATTATCATTGCCTTCCTGCTAACAGGTTTCTGCATATTCCTGGTGGGCAGGTCAGTGCAACAAAACATCCCTAAAACACTAGGGATGTATACATATATGTGTATAAATAAAAATAGAATTAAATAAAATTAAATAAAATAAAAAAATATATATATGTATATGTATATGTATATATGTATAACAAAAACACCCAGCACACCCCTGCGGGCGGTTTATCCTTCAAGCTCGGGTCCTCTACCAGAGGCCTGGGAGCTTGAGGGTCCTGCGCAGTATCTTAGCTGTTCCCAGGACTGCGCTCTTCTGGACAGAGATCTCCGATGTTGTTCCCGGGATCTGCTGGAGCCACTCGCCTAGCTTGGGAGTCACCGCACCTAGTGCTCCGATTACCACGGGGACCACCGTTACCTTCACCCTCCAAATCCTCTCGAGCTCTTCTCTGAGCCCTTGGTATTTCTCCAGCTTCTCGTGTTCCTTCTTCCTGATATTGCTGTCATTCGGAACCGCTACATCGATCACTACGGCCATCTTCTTCTGTTTGTCTACCACCACTATGTCCGGTTGGTTAGCCACCACCATTTTGTCCGTCTGTATCTGGAAGTCCCACAGGATTTTAGCTCGGTCATTCTCCACCACCCTTGGGGCATCTCCCATTTTGACCTCGGGACTTCCAGGTTATACTCGGCACAGATGTTCCTGTACACTATGCCCGCCACTTGGTTATGGCGTTCCATGTATGCCTTGCCTGCTAGCATCTTGCACCCTGCTGTTATGTGCTGGATTGTCTCTGGGGCATCTTTACACAGCCTGCACCTTGGGTCTTGCCTGGTGTGATAGACCCCAGCCTCTATGGATCTTGTGCTCAGAGCTTGTTCTTGTGCTGCCACGATTAGTGCCTCTGTGCTGTCTTTCAGTCCAGCTTTGTCCAGCCACTGGTAGGATTTCTGGATATCAGCCACCTCCTCTCTCTGCTGGTGGTACATACCGTGCAGGGGCCTGTCCTTCCATGATGGTTCCTCGTCTCCCTCCTCTTTCTTGGGTTTCTGCTGCCTGAGGTATTCACTGAGCACTCGGTCAGTTGGGGCCATCTTCCCAATGTATTCTTGGATGTTCGTTGTCTCATCCTGGACTGTGGTGCTGACACTCACCAGTCCCCGGCCCCCTTCCTTCCTCTTAGCGTACAGCCTCAGGGTGCTGGACTTGGGGTGAAACCCTCCATGCATGCATGGTAAGGAGCTTTCTTGTCTTTATGTCAGTGGCGTTTATCTCCTCCTTTGGCCAGCCTATTACCCCAGCAGGGTACCTGATCACGGGCAGGGCGTACGTGTTGATGGCCCGGATCTTGTTCTTACCATTCAGCTGACTCCTCAGGACTTGCCTGACCCTCTGCAGGTACTTGGTGGTTGCAGCTTTTCTAGCGGCCTCTTCATGCTTCCCATTCGCCTGCGGGATCCCCAGGTACTTGTAACCGTCCTCTATGTCTGCAATGTTGCCTTCTGGTAGTTCAATCCCCTCAGTTCTGACTACCTTCCCTCTCTTTGTTACCATCCGACTACACTTCTCCAGTGTAGACTCACAGCCTTGGCCAGCCGCTTGAGGAGGTACACCAGAGAGATAGAAGGCAGGAGAATAAACCAGCTGTTCTCCACAGAACCAGCAAAGGTGTACTCTCAGTGGCAAGGGAACAATAAGAGAACAGCACCACCAAGGCTGGAGACGGAGCAATACTGGAAGAGCATATGGGAGAAGGACGCAACCCATAATGGCAATGCTCAGTGGCTAGAGGATCTGAGGGCAGACCACAGCGACCTCCCTGAACAGGGTCCAGTAACCATCACAGTGGCAGATATCCAAGAAAGGGTCTCCAGTATGAAGAGTTGGACAGCACCAGGGCCCGACATGGTTCACGCCTACTGGCTGAAGAAGCTGACTGCACTCCACGAGCGTCTGGCAGCACAAATGAACCAGCTGCTAGTTAACGAGAGACACCCGGAATGGCTAACTGAAGGCCGGACGGTCCTGATCCCCAAGGACCCCAAGAAGGGACCGGTCCCCTCCAACTACCGACCAATAACCTGCCTCAGTACTACATGGAAGCTCCTGTCAGGCATCATATCAGCTAAGATGAACAGGCACATGGGTCAATACATGAGCGGGACACAGAAAGGAATTGGCAAGAATACCAGAGGCGCAAAACACCAGCTACTGGTAGACAGAACAATCAGCCGAGACTGCAAGACCAGACTGACCAACCTGTGCACTGCCTGGATTGATTACAAGAAGGCCTATGACTCAATGCCCCACAGCTGGATACTGGAATGCCTAGAATTGTACAAGATCAATGGGACCCTAAGAGCCTTCATCAGGAACTCAATGGGGATGTGGCATACAACACTAGAGGCCAACTCCAAACCCATAGCACAAGTCACCATCAAGTGTGTGATCTACCAAGGAGATGCTCTGTCCCCACTGCTGTTCTGCATAGGCCTTAACCCCCTCAGTGTGATCATTGACAAGACTGGCTACGGATACCGACTACGGAATGGAGCAGTTGTCAGCCACCTGCTGTACATGGATGACATCAAGCTGTATGCCAAGAGTGAACGAGACATCGATTCACTGATCCACACCACCAGGATATACAGCAATGACATCGGAATGTTGTTCGGACTGGAGAAGTGTAGTCGGATGGTAACAAAGAGAGGGAAGGTCGTCAGAACTGAGGGGATCGAACTATCAGGAGGCAACATTGCAGACATAGAGGACAGTTACAAGTACCTGGGGTTCCCGCAGGCGAATGGGAACCACTGAAGAGGCCGCTAGGAAAGCTGCAACCACCAAGTATCTGCAGAGGGTCAGGCAAGTCCTGAGGAGTCAGCTGAATGGTAAGAACAAGATCCGGGCTATCAACACCTACGCCCTGCCCTTGATCAGGTACCCTGCTGGGGTAATAGGCTGGCCAAAGGAGGAGATAAACGCCACTGACATAAAGACAAGAAAACTCCTTACCATGCATGGAGGGTTTCACCCCAAGTCCAGCATCCTGAGGCTGTACGCTAAGTGGAAGGAAGGAGGTCGGGGACTGGTGAGTGTCAGTGCCACAATCCAGGATGAGACAACAAACATCCATGAATACATCACGAAGATGGCCCCAACTGACCGAGTGCTGAGTGAATACCTCAGGCAGCAGAAACCCAAGAAAGAGGAGCAAGGCGAGGAACCATCATGGAAGGACAAGCCCCTGCACGGTATGTACCACCGGCAGATAGAGGAGGTGGCTGATATCCAGAAATCCTACCAGTGGCTGGACAAAGCTGGACTGAAAGACAGCACAGAGGCACTAATCATGGCAGCACAAGAACAAGCTCTGAGCACAAGATCCATAGAGGCTGGGGTCTATCACACCAGGCAAGACGCCCCTGAGACAATCCAGCACATAACAGCAGGGTGCAAGATGCTAGCAGGCAAGGCATACATGGAACGCCATAATCAAGTGGCGGGCATAGTGTACAGGAACATCTGTGCCGAGTATAACCTGGAAGTCCCGATGTCAAAATGGGAGATGCCCCCAAGGGTGATGGAGAATGACCGAGCTAAGATCCTGTGGGACTTCCAGATACAGACGGACAAAATGGTGGCAGCTAACAAACCGGGCATAGTGGTGGTAGACAAACAGAAGAAGACGGCCGTAGTGATCGATGTAGCGGTTCTGAATGACAGCAACATCAGTAAGAAGGAACACGAGAAGCTGGAGAAATACCAAGGGCTCAGAGAAGAGCTCGAGAAGATGTGGAGGGTGAAGGTGATGGTGGTCCCAGTGGTAATCGGAGCACTAGGTGCAGTGACTCCCAAGCTAGGCGAGTGGCTCCAGCAGATCCCGGGAACAACAGCTGAGATCTTTGTCCAGAAGAGCGCAGTCCTAGAAACAGCTAAGATACTGCGCAGGACCCTTAAGCTCCCAGGCCTCTGGTAGAGGAGCTTGAAGGAGTGGGGAATTTTTTATTTTTTTATATATATATATATATTTTTTTTATCTATATATAAAAAAAAAATTCAAGCTCGGGTCCTCTATCAGAGGCCTGGGAGTTTGAGCGTCCTCTTCACCACAACAGACCGGTACAACAGAACCACATCATCCACGAAAAGCAGAGATTCTGAGACCACCCAAGTGAAAGCTTTTCTCCACTTGGCCATAAAGATTATGAACAGAATCTGTGACAGAGGCAGCCCTGGCGGAGCCCATCACCCACTAGGAACGAGTCCAACTTATTGTCGGCTGTGCGGACCAGGCTCTTGTAACGGTTGTATAAGAATCGAATGGCCCGTAGCAATGGGCCAAACACCCCATAATCTCGGAGCACCTCTCACAGGACACTCTGAGGGACACGGTTGAATGCCTTCTCCAAGTCCACAAAACACATGTAGACTGACTTATAATTAAAGGCAACATGGATCAGCCACAACATTACCTTCCTGATAATGTGTAGGTCTTGCTCATGTTGCTCTTTGGGCATAGATACCTTCTGACTCTGCATTGGCACATTAGCTTTAGATCCTGTGGTGGGTTAAAAGGGCATCCTTTGTGGATCAGGCTTCTCTTGATACATCCCACTATGATTGCGAACCCAAATTTAGAAGCTTGACAATGCCCTGGACTCTTTATCATGTTTCTTAGGCCAGCGGTCCCCAACCCCCGGACCTCAGACAAGTACCGGTCTGTGAGTCGTTTGGTACCGGGCCGCAATAGTTGAGGCTCAGGTGTGAAATGTATGATTTTCAGGGTTTTTATCGGTTTTCAGCGTTATTTTGTTATCGTTTTTATCGTTAACTCGGTTTTCCTGGGTCTTTTCACTTGTGTTATGAATAAATCTTCTTTTTTTCGGTACCGGTACTAGTTTTAATTTGTTGTATTTATCCGCGACACCTTAAAGGCCGGTCCGTGAAAATATTGTCGGGCATAAACCGGTCCATGGCGCAAAAAGGTTGGGGACTGCTGTCTTAAGCCATTCCTGGGCAGTTTTTAATATGGCAGAGTGCTTGGGGGTGCTGGGGAAGGCCACCATTGTCAGGTGTTGCTGTTATCATGATGATGGTTGGTTAAGCAAAAATATGCATGGATGATTACACTTCTATAAGAGAGCTACCACATAGCCAACTCACAAGTACCTGTTTTACAAACCTGAATTTGACAACTATTGTCCCTATGAGGAATTGAACAAAACCAAAAACATCCAGTTACCAGCAAAGCAAACTGTAAAATATGTAAAAAAGAAAAAAAAGTGATCTACATGAATACCAGCAGAACATCCTAGCAGAACATTGCAATGTTGCATTGTAACAGGATCATCCATGTTATTTTGTTCATCTCAATGATTTTGTTGTTGAGGTTGAATGTTGTATATACAATTGAATCTTGAATTATGTTATGAAAGCTTTCATTTGTTTTATCCTGCAGGATCAGTCCCAGTGAATGGGCTGAGCCAGACACAGAAGAACACAGTTTCACTTTGCTGCACAGCTTCTGGTACATTACAGGAGCTCTCACCCTGCAAGGTATTGCAGCAGTCCACTAAATTAAAGCACAGAAATGCACTCTTCTGCTGCTTGCCACTTTCTACATGCCTTAAGACAAATATGTAGTAACATGTTTTACGGTACACGGATCATTTTGTAATACCTATAGAAAGAGATCAAATAAGGAAAATGAAAATGACAAGTTCCACATGCATAACAATTCAATGTAGTATATTGAGACTTGTATCAATGTCTGCATATAGTCAACAACTGAATGTCAAGTAAAATAAAGAAGTTACAATTCGCTAGTATTATGTGTAAACGTGTGATGGCTGTAGTGCAGGAGGTAGACCACTTCATCAGCTAATCAGAAGGTTGGTGGTTTAATTCCTGGCTACTCCAGTCAGAATGCCAAAGTGTCCTTGGGCAGGTTAGATAGAAAAATGTGCTTGTATGAGTGAGTGAATGACGCAAGTTGTTTGAAGTGCTTTGGATGCATAAGTTGAGTATAAAAGTGCTCTCTAAAAATCAGTCAATTCAGCATCTACTTTTCATTTTCACAATGAGCTGGGGGTATTTTATTAATAAGAAACTGCAAATAAAGTTTGCATTGAAAAATAAAGCTGTTTTTAAATAAACTGCTTACTAATAACTAACAGGAGTAGTTAGGATTCCCTCTTTTTTTCCCTCAAGTTTATTTGACATGTAAAAACTTCACAGTAGCTTTAACACTTCTTTTCTCACTCTTCATGTTGCTCTCAGTAATGATTTGATTGGCTATGTAATGAATAGTGAAGAGTGCAAATGACTAATCTGTGTATATACACTGACTACTGTAAAGACAAAAGGAAAAATCTATGCTTTTTAAAATAACCCTGCTGTAAATATGAGAGAATTGTGCAGAGTGAAACAGCATAAAAATATCAGTAGAAAATATATATTTCAAGTAGCTGAACATCAAGAGTAGGCTCTGTTTGAATAATATAAATACATTATTTTCCGTTGAAACTGCAACTCTGTTTCTTGGTTGATTGTTTGTCACCTGCTGACTGCTTGACCACTTTCTTTGTCCTCTCAGGAGCCGGTCCTCACCCCAAGGCATTGTCTGGACGTGTAGTCAGTGCCATCTGGTGGCTGTTTTCTGTATTGCTGCTTGCCTGCTACCTCTGCAACTTAAAGTCTGCGTTGAACTCCAACAGCAAACACATCTCCATTAAGAGCTTTGCAGACCTGGCTAACCAGGATGTAATCAATTACGGCACAATTGAATCTGGATCTACTATGCTCTTCTTTAAGGCATGATCAGTTACTCCTAGTTAGCATTCATAGTCATTACTGCTGCTACATAACATATGGGAAAGGTTCAATAAACATGATAAATATTTTACTTTACTTTCCTAGAATTCCAACAATCCTGTGTACCGGCGTATCTACCAGCACATGGAGCGTAAAAAAAGCTATGTGTCCAACGCAGAAGAAGGTATACGCCGCACACAGGAAGGAAACTTTGCATTTATTGGTGAAGCAGTGTCCTTGGACTTGGCAGTGGCTCGGTACTGTAAACTGACCCGTTCACCAGAGGTCATCTCTATGCGGTCCTACGCCATAGCAGCACCTCTAGGTGAGTTGCTTGGATCTGTCAGGATGCTGCTTTCTAGCTTTCTTCTTTGGTGGCCCACACATGGGCCAGCACAAGGCCAGTTGCAGACACACTGCTGGCCCTGTGCTGGCCCAGAACAGTTTCAGCTCTGGCCCCAGATGTCAGCTTAATGTGTACCTTAATCAAGCCATGTAATAACAACATGTGCCGGAACATAATAGTGCAAAACTAACATGATGAAACTCTGTTCAGACACTGAATCAACTGATTCTTATATAGCCCTTTTCTAGTCTCCCAGATTACTCAGAGTGCTCTATACAACATGCCACATTGACACACTGGCTGTATCCCAATTCAGGTTCTGCAAGCCTTAAAGTACACAGCCTTAACGGTCCACAAGGGCCGCACACTCAAAGACTGCTAAGGCCGGAAGTGTGAGGCTTGTGAAATGGGACGGTCTAGCTCCTGTCGCACTGCCCAGGTTGCCTAGCAACTATGATACTAACAGCTGGAAACGTTTCATACAGCATCGTTTGACAGAAATGAAGGAGAAAAGTTTTTCTGTTAGTTCATTTTGTTTATCACATCACTTTGATTTGATAAGTATCTGAGGCTGAGACCACAGGACTGTAAAAACATGATTGTTGGGCTTCATTTCTGTACTGAACAGTCATTTTAAGATTAGCTAGTTAATAACAATTAGCTAATGTTGTTCATGAGACTAAAGTCATCTTACTTTGGTAATGTAAATGTAATATGGCCAATATCAAAGTTATTATTATATTAACCATTATTAGTTATTACAGCAGTGAACTTGAACTCTGTGTCAAATACTGAGCTTCAGTAAAGATTCAAGTTGCAGTTATTTATATTTCCTATCACCTTAAATCTTCACTCAAAGACAAGCATCTTTGACAGTGTGTATATAGATATATTAAATATAATAGGCAAATGCTGTTATTTTATTAAGATGGCATTACTAAATTTGGCTCAATGCTTACATATATGTGTAAAAAGAAAATGTACGAGCTGTGATAACTGTTTCTGATAGAATGAAGAGTAGACTGATATATTGAATATTCCTTTATTGGGTGAGAAAATCATACCATGTCATAGCTTCTTTAAGTCATACAGAATAGATATCAGAGCCTTAAAAAGGCTGACTTCTGCTAAATGGGTCAAACTGGGCAGAAAGTATACCGAAAGTATATATCATATCATCTTTATAGAATATGATGTAACACTATAGACCAACTTACCTCAGAGAATATATAAAGCATATAAACGATTATGATGCAACAAACACAGCAGTACTAATCCAAAATACTCAAAGCTTCATAGAACTGAAACAAACATTTATTTTAGCTCCATTCTGCTGCTGATACATACTTTAGGTTTCTGAATATTACACTTGTTGCTGCCTTTCATAGTGTGTAACTTGAAGGCCCTTGAGTACTTTCTCCCACACTGAAAACACTGGAATGATAAAATTATTTGAACATTACCTAATAAGACTGATTCAGGACAGACAATTAGTTATTTTAAACTTTTCTAGCAGTCCTTCACAAACAGGGAACAGTCTGTCTATTCTCTCCATCTGTCAGCTGCTGCTGGCTCTTCCTCCTACTCTTCCTCACACACTGCTGAGTTTGTCCTGGTGGATCATCAGGGGTGCAAAGCCTCACAGATGATGTGCAGCAATGGGTCCCTCAGTCTGTCCTCACTCTGGACACTTGCAGTTGTCACACATGGAAATCAAATGTGTGATAAGCTGCAGGATTCAAACACAAGTGTAACTTATAAATACATGTTCATACTTTTATTACACAATCAGAGAGAAAGACAAAGAGAGAGAGTGCAGGACAGATAGACAGGTGACAGTCTCAGGTGTATACACTGCTACAAAACAGCACAAAAGAAGGAGGATTTAGTGTTTGTGTTATTACGAAACAAGAAGAGTTCCCAGATGGTACAGTGGACACATGTGTGACTCCTGTGATCAAAGCATCTTTCTTTCAGCTTAACGAGTGAACCGTCAGCTCGTTCAAACAAACATTAAAGTCCATTTGGCTCGACACCACCAAACAGAGGCAGCAATATAACATAGCTAAAATTAACAGTGCAGTGAATCCTGCTTGTGCCGTGATATTCAGGATTGCAAACCGAGCAGCATCACTGACTTTCAGCTTGTGTTTATGGATATATGACTGACTTTAATTATCCATAAAATCATCACAATCTCTGTAAGATTGCATAGTGCAATATTTGGCTTGGTGATATTGTATCAATACAGGGACACCAAAAGTTCATATTTTATGAAATACATTAAAATACTCTGGGAATACTACAAACAAGAGAGTTCATATCACTACTTCCCTCCTTAGACAATCTTAGCAGAGCAGATTCACATTAAATTGACTGAACTGACAAAACATTGGACACACTTAGCGTTACAAAGCTACCTCCTAGTTCAGACGGAGCTACTGGTTCAGTCACACAAGTAAAAATAGGACAGCAACCTACTTGCATCTGTCTTATGGCAACATTTATGGCAGGTTTTATTGTCAGTGTGTATGCTTGAAAGTTTCACTTTGTTTTCACTTTGAAACAAAACCCCCAAAAAACAAAATGAGACAATTTTATCTGATTGAATAAAATCAGTATTGACAAAGAGGTGGCTGAGGTAGATCAGGTCATCTGCTAATCGGAAGGTTGGTGGTTTGATTCCTGGCTGCTCAGGTCTGCAGGCCAAATATCCTCAGGTAAGATCAATGTGAATGTGTGGATTCTTAGAAAGCACTTATACAAGCACTTTTTCTATGCTTGAGTCCATTAGCATTTACAGAGTTTAACCCTCTCGGTCATAGATATACCTTTAAAATTAATTCACTTTAAAAAACTGACTGACTTTATAGGTATTTTTTAATTTTGACATAGTGTATTACCCTAAAATCACACAAAAATGAAAGAAAAAGATAGATTTCTTACTATGAAAACCACAAACATGTTTAACAAATCAGTTTTCCCTTCAGCCATTAAATGGACAGGATTTTGTAATTCATACCATAATTGCATTGTTACCTGACACAGTGCTCTGGTAACTGTTGAGACACGTTTACTTACATACATATATATCCACATGTACAATGCAGCTCGATTTGGCACCGGTGTTTCTGCCGTGATCAGCTTTCCAGCTGCCTCCACGCTCCTCTCCCGTCCCTGGCGTCACTAAAAAAGGGAAAAAAGTTCATCCGCCTGATTACCTCGAGTCCGCTGTACCACCTATCCCCTGCAGCAGAGACAAAGACTGGGCAATGGCATTTTTTAAATAACTATTTACAAAACAATCAGGTGTCACAATAAGATTCCACCCAAATTATTTGTGCCACTCCAAAAAGTAGTTCCTGTCATAAGTAGAAAAACTAAATTGTAAAGGTGGTGAGTTGTGCCACTGTGGAAAATGGTAAACACTTATGGTAATGGGGTGAGACATTCAGAAACCTCTTTCTTCACTCAAATCGCATGTTTATTTCCTGCTAGGATCCCCGCTGGTGAAGAATCTAACTGTTGCCATCCTCCAGCTCAGTGAGTCTGGTGAGCTAACATACCTGCGTGAGAAGTGGTGGGCCAGCAGCTGTGTTGGCACTGGTGGAGCCCACATCTCCGAGGCCCTGCAACCCTATGACTTACGGGGCCTGTTCCTCCTCCTGGGACTGGGTCTGGGCATCGGGCTCCTGCTAGCCCTGCTGGAGCTCTTATCAAGGGCCCACAACCAAGCTAAGGATGGCAAGGTAGGAAAGAATATCACAATGTAATCATGGCATGGAATGTTTTTATCCTGTAACATTTCTTCTGTTCTTTGGCAGAAATCCTGCTGCTTGGTGTTGACATCAGAGCTGAACCGGAGGTTTGGCAGTGGAGGGGAGAGCACAGAGCACGACACCTCAGACAAAAGCAAAGCCTAAAGAAGAAGCACCACGTTGTCATTCGATAAGATAGTGTTAGAGAAGTGAACAAGCTGAGAGCTTTCTGTATTTCCGTAGTAACAGTCGCATATTGTGTTGTATTTCAGTGGGTTTTATACTTTGGTGCCCAGTTTGAACAACTACCAGCAGCAGTATATTAAGCACCAAACCCACAGGTATATTTCAGACTTAATATTATAATCAGTCTGTCTTGTTAGCTGTTTAGCGTTGTTTTATTATCACATATTTACATCTCACTTCTAACACCTGAAGTTCTTCTGTCACAGTTGTAACCTGGTCTTACTATTTGCTTGTATATTCCAAATAAATACTCCAATATCCTGCCTGCTCTGTTTTTCAGTGTATACAACTTTATTGTTCATTGTAGAGAGGAGTTTCATTTATTAGAGCAAACATTAACACCACCTAGGGCCTGTACTAACAACCAAGTTCAACATACCCAGGACATCCAGCCTTTCCTCATCTTCATCCAGCACATGAGAGGCAATACTGAAAGAAAATGATACAAACAGATCACCATGATAAGGCTTGGGAAGCTAGAAGGGGAAAAAGTCTGAGCATTTTATTTTTTCTGTTGGCTGGCACCACAAATAAAACCCTGGGACACCATCACACCACTAGTACAAACACAAAAACATCAAGTTGCAAAAACAGAGAGAGAGGAGGAGAGAAACCCCCACAGACCCCGACACCTGACCCAGAGGCAGAAGTCACTGGCAGAGGCCTTAGAGTACAGCAGATGACATCCAAGACGATAAGAGTGGTGAAAGTGATATTTTGTCTTTCACTTTAGTTCATATAAGTACAATGGCTCATTTGTTACTGTAGCTAACTCAAAAAGTAAAATTTTAGACTTCTTTGTAACCTTGACTGCCAGAGGATGATATGTGGTCATAGTTGCTCCAAGACTGTAAGATCAGCAACTACTAAAGTAAATTAAATAATAAAATACTAATAGATTGTAGTGTGAAATAATCATCACCTGAAATGGTTTCCAACAGTCTTGAAGGAGTTCCCAGAGATGATGAGCACTTGTTGGTCCTTTTGCCTTCACTCTGCGCGCTCCATCTCATCCCAAACCATCTCCACTGGGTTTACGTCAGGTGACTGTGGAGGCCAGGCCATCTGGTGCAGCACTCCATCCCTCTCCTTCTTGGTCAGAAAGCCCTGACACAACCTGGAGGTGTGTTTGGGGTCATTGTTGGAAAATCAATCATGGGATGGCATGTCGCTGAAGGATGCTGCGGTAGCCATGCTGGTTTCATTGTGCCTTCAGTTTGGAATAAATCCCCAACAGTCTCACCAGCAACCCCCCCCCACACACACACACACACACACCATCTCCTCCGTGCTTCACAGTGGGAACCATGCATGTAGAGACCATCAGTTCACCTTTGTGGAACCAAACATCTGAGATTTGGACTCATCAGACCAAAGCACAGATTTCCACTGGTCTAATCTCCATTTCTTGTGTTTCTTGGCCGAAACAAATCTCTTCTGCTTGTTGCTTTTCCTTAGTCGTGGTTTCTTAGCAGCTATTTGACCATAAAGGCCTGATTCACACAGTCTTGTCTGAACAGCTGATGTAGAGATGTGTCTGCTACTGGAACTGTGTGGCCAAAGGTTTGCATCGCTGTCAACAAAGCAAAGGGTGGCAGTGTTAGAAATCTAACCCTAATGATGTTGTGAGCCTTGGTAAGGTAGTGCTTTATTGCAATGTCCTTAATCGGAGAGAGTGAAGTACCGATAATTTATGCTGTTGTCCTCACCCCTGCCTGCAGTGATTTCCAGTCAGAGGCACTGCGGGCTCCCGACCAGAATGAGAAGTGACACGTCAGAATAAATTCTATTTCCTAACTGAATCGTACAGCTTCTGAGAAGAGAAACTAATTCCTCAGGATCACGATGCACTACTTTGGTGAAAAAACAACGCAGCAACACTTCCCTCTCTGAGCAACACTGACTGACTGACTGAGACATTTTTTTTCTCAGAAGCAGGACAGTTACTAAGTCATAGCTGACGTGCAATAAAAAGGAAAAATGTGAACATGATACTGTTCCTGAACAAAATCCTCTAAACAAAACCTCTGTTCTTCACTATTTGGTGTTTTGTTTGAAGTATTTTTTTTAAAGCCAAAACAAATAGCTTAGTGAAAGGGAGAACATTTTTTTTTATATTTGTATTGCATTATCTGAACAGTTATTCTACCTACTGCTCTGCTTTTGTTGTTATAGTTAAACAAAAAACCTAAAGTAAGATAACAAAGTATTTTCTATTTATGTAAAACTTTGCCCAAATTCTGTCCTGGCTTTTATCTAATTAATAATCCAAGGGGGAAGCTCCCCCTTTAATATATTCTAAATACACTGGATACTACCTGATCAGTACCAATCATTAGAAAAGTCATAGTGAGCATTAAACGGCTACAGAACCTGCTTAAAGTTAAAAAAAGAAAAAGAAGTAAATAATAAACTTATTAAACAAAAGTAACAAAAATTAACAAAAATTAACTGACAAAAAAAAGATTTCTTCAAAAAACATTCTCCCTTAATTAAGAAATGACTATACATTGACTTTAATGTACATTTTTTTAATCTTTATTTTAATTTTTTTTACTGAGTAGGGAAGTCTGTGAACCCAAATTACACTTTAATTGAACATTAAGATCCTGTTTGTTTACTGATGGAGCCGGAAAAGCAAAGAAAAAAGAAGTAAAATCTATCAACATCACATTAAACATAAATCTGTAAAAGAAAAGTCTGGACTGAGTTTGCCTGACTGTACATACGTGTGTGAAAGACTGCTGTAGAAAAAAGTTACAAAACTAACTTTCAGCACTGAAAGTTAAGTATTAATAGTATAATTAAGTACCTTTTTACTTTTTCAGATTTGCCAATTATGTTAAATGTGAATTACTGAATTTGCAGAAGCAGACAAAAATAAAGGTTTTGTTACTTGGACACTGACAGGTTGAAACTTCGAAATGTTAAACAGAAGTGCTGTAAACATAGAGCAGCCTGTGGATCCCTGACCTTTTATGAAATGTCTGCACATACTGAGCATAGGTAAAACAATTTAAATTGGTTTCCCCACACCTCACTCTTTTGTACACAAACTGATATGGGCTGATATGACCACTTGGAGGTGCTACAAGATTGTTTTTGCTGTGAAGCTCAGCAGGATTCGACTCATGCAATCCAATGCTTTTGTGAGGTGGAGTAAAGAACTGCAACTCAGTATGTAAAGACAGTATCAAAGACAGGAAAATGGATTGGATCTTTTGCTCTAGTTGATCAGATTGAATCCTTGCATGTAACATTTTTTTCCTTCTTGTTATCCTCTTGTTAGATCAGTGGTAAAACAAGTGAACAAACAAGCTCAATAAAAAGACTGCAATGGAGCGAAAATGCCAAATAGTTGTCAGGTATTGTAGACAGGTACAAATGTCTTGAGTGACCCCTAATTTCTTTACATTTTGCAAGGTAAATAAAGAAAAAAAGTGTAATATAACTCAAAATATGTTTTATATTTCAGATTCTGCCGAATACCCCTTTCCTTTGATTCCTGCTTTGCACACTCTTGGCATTCTCTCCATGAGCTTCATGAGGTCGTCTCCTGAAATGGTTTCCAACAGTCTTGAGGGAGTTCCCAGAGATGCTGAGCACTTGTTGGTCCTTTTGCCTTCACTCTGCGCTCCATCTCATCCAAAACCATCTCCATTGAGTTTAGGTCAGGTGATTGTGGAGGCCAGGCTATCTGGTGCAGCGCTCCATCCCTCTCCTTCTTGGTCAGATAGCCCTGACACAACCTGGAGGTGTGTTTGGGGTCATTGTGCTGTTGGAAAATAAGTGATGGTCCAAATAAACACAAACCAGATGAAGAAGAATCAAGCTTTAGTCCTCACATGCACAATCATACAGAGTACAACATGCACTGAAATGTTTTGTGTCTGAGCTGCAGACAGGATGCAGATCTGGCCACACCATTCTAGGGCTAGGTTTTTAGCATGGGTGGGTTTAGCCAGGACCCTTACTGGATAGGAATCGAACTTATGATTCCCAATCCAAAGATGTGTAGTTTTACCACTACATTATCCAGCTGCTTCAAAATTAGTGATCGATGGGGTGGCGTGAGCTGCAGGATACTACAATTTTGAATAAATCCCCAACAGTGTCATCAGCAAAGCACCCCCACACCATCACACCTCCTCTCACAATCTTCACTGTGGGAACCATGCATGTAGAGACCATCAGTTCACTTTTTCTGCAACGGACAAATGCACGGCGGGTAGAACCGAAGGTCTCAAATTAGGATTCTCAGATTAGACTCATCTAATGCCCATTTTCTGTATTTCGTGGCTCAAACAAATCTATTCTGTGTCTTGCTGTCACTGTACTGGGTCTGCGAGCCAGTATTTGGGTTTCAGATTCTGATTTAATATTCCAAGACTACTGTTATTCCTGGTTTTGGTTATCTTTATTTCTTATGTTCTTAGTAATTAGAGTCCTTCGTTCCTTAGTATTTATGTTAGCCTGTGTTTTTTGTCTGTTCCCATGTCTACTCTGTACTTTTCCTGTGTCCCACTTTCCACGTCTAGTCACTCTTGTCTCCATGTTCTCCCTGTCTCCCCAGTCAGTCATGTCTCTATGTCTCAGTGTCTAGTCTGTATCTTTGTGAATGTCTGTTCTACTTTGAAAGTCTTGTGTGCTATGTTAGTGTTTTAAGTTTTGCTTTCTCCCCATTTCATTTTGTTTGATTCAATTAAATTCAGTTTTATTTGTACAGCGTCAAATCACAATAACACTCTATCACTTTGATGACAGTGGGAAGGAAAAACTCCCTTTTAACAGGAAGAAACCTCCGACAGAACCAGAACCAGGCTCAGGGAGGGGGCCATCTGCTGTGACCGGTTGGGGTGAGAGAAGGAAGACAGGATAAAGACATGCTGTAAATAAGGGACAATAATCATTTAACTTCACAAACTATTGCTTTCTTTTTCTTTAATAACTCCCAGTTACCCACTGATGCCATAACATTCCAGTTTTTTATTAATACACCATCTGTCTTATCATCTGTGGATGTTATGATTTTTTCTATTAAGTTTAATAATGCAGTGATGCTGGGGTACTTTAACTTGTACTGAATGTTTATAAGTAGTTTTATGTATCTCTGTGAATTTTTACAGTTGGTTATAAAACTGTTTTTAGTACCTTTAGTACCTCATTTTTTAGAATTGAGGTACTAAAGAGAGAGGTCTGCATTTTCTAAAGAGTTTTTATTGTTGATTTATGCAGAAGTGCAACAAGGGTTTTAAAATACCCTTAGC